CTAAAACAATCTAGAACTAGAAAAACAATTTAAAGAAATAACAATTAAATTCCTAGAGAAAAAGAAGAAGGTCTAGGGGTCGGGAAATCTCATCAAGTCTTAAACTATGTTGAACGCTTATTTGTTCGGTTACGAGATTAAACAAGCCTACACGTCTAGAGGGCTATGCTCAATAACTCTTCGTAACAAGAGCACAAACATAAACGATAAATTCATTCAAACAAGCAACACATAGACAATACTTTTACGAACATGTCTACTCTATACGAGCCTAAATCGACCGACGTCTCCCCTCTCGGTTCTAAACGTCGATTAACTAGGTTAGAATGGTGATCAATCAACTAACCATATAATTCACACAACTCGTATAGATTGAACAAAACACATTCCTCATAATTCAAAACAAGAATCAAAATCCCTAACCCTAGGTGAATGGATTACCTCATGCTTAGATTCAATTTCATGTTAACCGGAATTAAGAACATAAAACCAATCAACAATAATAAAATAGAATTGAAAAACTTACAATCGGATTAAGAGTTGCAAGATTTCAATCCAAATAACTTTGTGTCCAACAATCCAAGCATGAGAGAAAAAAAAGAAAAGTGGAGAAATTTATCCTAACAATATTGAGTTTTTGGAGAGAAAAATTGAAAGGAACGATATTGGGGATTGTTCCTTAGGTCTGGGGGTTCGTTTTCATATATAGAGCTCGAAAAACGGAGCTAAAACGAGTAAAAACGGAGAAAAATAAAAACAGGGTCGAACAGGTCGCGACTCGCGAGTTGACTCGCGAGTCGCGAGTCGGACGGGTCGTGGGGTCGCGCAGCTGGTCGGAGGCTCTGTTTTAGTCGCGAGTCGCGACTTTGCTCTCGCGACTCGCGACTTTGGACTGCACTGCGCCATTTTATGTTTCGGGCTCGTTTGGGCTCATCCGAACTCGGAATTGAGTTCCGTTTTTTGCTACGTGTCACTAACAAACCCATCTATCCAATTGTGCTCTCAAAACCAGCTTTTCTTGAAGAGAAAATTCGCTCGAAGCTCCTGACCTACACACCAAAAACGACAAAACACAATAGAAAACCGGAAAAACAAATGAAAAACACCTAAAGACTCAAGATGAAGGAAAACACATAATAAAACATGAAACGGACTAAAAACTAAAGAAAGGACCTAAAATGGGGGAAAAAGAAAGATAAAATAAACACGAAAAACGCAACAAAAATAGGACAAACAAAAGGCTGTAAAAATATGTGAAGGAGATCTAGTGTCTGATGTAGGATTTTAGCTATTTCGAGCTAATGTAGATACCTCAAAGAGAGAATAGTCGACCTGACCTGTTATTTGAGATCGCCCAGAATATGGTTGATTGTAAAAGCATAAGTGTGACATTAAGAGATTTTTCGAGCAGGGAGTCATTTTGTATAAAATGTCGTACATGGGACCTCATTTAAGGTGAGTTATAGAGGAAGAAGGTCGATATATATTGAATGGGGTATACGAATGATGTTGCAGTGATCATAGCTAAGCGAGGTCATTGATCGAACTGGTTGAACCTCTACCTCAGGGGAAAAGTCAAAGAATGTTCCGGATTGTGACGGTAGATTATTTTACAAAGTGGGTAGATGTTGATCCCTAAGCTTGGATTACAGAGGACAAGATCGTGCAGTTCTTGTATAATAAAATATGTTGTCAATTTAGAGTGCCTAAGTTGTTAGACTCAAATAGCGGGACTCAATTCAATGGAAAGAAAATTTGAGCCAAGTGTGAGGACATAAAGATTGATCAACACTTTGTGTCAGTAGTTCATTTACAAGCTAATGGGCAGGTCGAGGTACAAACAGAATCATCCTAAATGGTCTTAAGGCAGTTGAAGCGAGCCTCGGGTGCTTGGTTTGATGAGTTGACATTAGTTTTGTGGGTATATAAAACAACCCTGAGGTCAAAAACAGGAGAGACCCAATTTAGTTTGGCCTATGGGATGGAGGCGCTATTATCAATGGAGGTTGAGTTGGGCTCGTAGAGGTCTCTTTCTTACGAGAAGTAATAGAATGAAGAATTGGCGTGAGCAGTGGATACGATCGATGAACTCAGACAGCAGGCGGCAGCCCAAGTAGAAGCGTATAAACATAGGATGCGGATCGGATAAGACAAGAAGGTAAAGGTGTGAAGGTTCTAAGTCGGTGATCTTATGTGGAAGAGGGTCTACATCTTGAAACATGTCGGCAAGGTAGAGCTCAACTGGTAAGGACCTTACATGGTTAAAAAGAGTTCATGCAGTAGGAACTTGTTCGTTGAAGGACACCGAGGGGGGTCGTTACCAAGTGTTTATGCCATTATCATTTATGCAAGTTATTCCAAGCTATGATTTAATGTGTGCATCGCAAGAACAAGTTATGATTTTAAGATCATAAGATGTGTCAAGTTATGCAAGTTCTTCGTAACATGGGATTGAACATAGATGAGCAAGTTCGAGCATACAACACCGGCCAATAATCCAATCCCAATAACTCTTCGTAACATGGAAAGGGACATCGACAAGCGTGTACTTCACTCCAAAGCTTATAGACAATACGTCTCCGAACATGTCTACCTCATACGAGCCTAGTTCTACCATTTTCTCTCCTCTAGGTTTTAAAATTCATTAGCTAGATTAAGATGGTGATTAAGCATCTAATCTTGTAGAATCAACAAACCCAACTCGACAAATCAACATTCAATCATTTCCAATCACAAAATCGAAGTGTCACTCTTCGATTATATCAATAAATTAACCTAAGTGTCACTCTTAGGTTATATCAAATTATCAATAAATCAAGCAAGAATTCATCAATTTCTAATCAATTCAACTCGCACAAGAACTACAAGAAATTTTAGAAAACATGACGATAAAATTCGTCATCTAAATCTCATTTTTCGTCACAAATATAAATTGATGACGAAATTTTATCGTCACAGAGATCGTCACCGTAGCCGCGTCATATTAGGTCTAGGTGACGAATTTCGTACTTGTCACCAAATGTTTCACTTTTAATGACGATTATATGTATCGTCATGTTATTTGGTAATCTTTCATGACGATAATTTCGTCACATTTATTATGATAATTTTGTCATTTAAATGATTATTTTGTCATAATAACACAAGTTTTAAATGATGAAAACTGAAACCCTTCCTCTCAAAAATCCAATCTTTCCGCCTTCCTCCGCGACGAATTAGCTCGGCCAGGGGTCGTCCTTGACCGCCTGGCCCACTCCCGGTGCAGCGCGCTCTCGATGTGGCCATGGATTGCTTGGGATGCGGTGGCCGGTCTGTGGTCGCTGATGGGGCCTTGGTGGGAGGAGATGACGCGCCCGGCTGTCTTTCGGCTGACGATTGGAGGTTCTATCTTCGATTGCCGGCGGGGCTCTGGTTTGCGGTGTGTTGCATTTCCATCAGCTCTCCTTTGTGGCTGCTGGGCTGTAGCTCTCCAACGGGGGTTTCACCTGTTTGGATGGGGTTTGGCGCGGGGTCTCGGCAATTGGTGGTGATGTCTGGGGGTGTGGGAGTCGATGGGTGGGGCGGGATCCCGGTTGCTGTGTCGGTCTAGTGCGGCTGTCGGGGTTGAGGGCTCGGGCCACTCAAGCTTTTTCCTCGGTCGGCTAGTGGTGTTAGGCGGCAGAGGATTGGGTCCTATCGAGTTGGCTAGTGGTGTTAGACGAGTTCGGTGGGGCTGGCGTGGTGGCTGGCTTCGGGCTCTCTCGGTTAGAGATGGGTCGATTCGAGTTTGTCTCGGGGGTTGAGTTCACCTACTGTATAGGCGTTTGTGCAGTTTCGGTAGCGGTTCTCGGGCTCGGGGCTTTCGTTGTGTCGGTCGTTCACTGCTGGTTGAGCTTAGTTCGGATCGCCGGGGAAGGGCTTTGTTTTAGTTTATTGATGTTTATTTTCTTGTTTTTCTTTTTGTGTGATCGTTGTGTTTGTGCTGGTGTGGTCTATGTGTTTTTGGTTTGGGCCGTTGGCCCTAGTTTAGTTTGGCTGAGTGTAGCCTTTATTCTCCTGTTGGGAGTTTACACTCGGCTATTACCCTGTTGGGGATTTTATTTTTGTATTTTTTCGTTGTGGTTTTAGTTTGGTGTTGGTGTTGTCGTGTGTTGGTCGTTCTAGCTTTGCTAGTTGGTATTCGGTCTAGGTTACATTAGTTGTGTGTGTAACCTCTCATTTCCCAGTTTTGGGCTCGTCTGTTGTACATTGCCTTTTGGCCTTTTTTATGAGTATGTTCTGCCGTTTGGAAAAAATAAAAAAAAATGACGAAAACTTAACTTTGTCATCTAAATATTATTTTTTAGTGACGAATTTTATTATTTTATCGAATTTTTAAAATTGTAGTGACGAATATCTTTGTGGCGTTTTCGTTATAAAAATCGTCATATTTCATATAATTCATCATGAAAGAGTTATTTTATAATTACAATATATTAATCGTCACAGAAAGAAATGTTAAATATGTCAATAACAAAAATGTCACAAAAAATAGAAATAGTGACGAAATATTTATTGTCTCCAAAAACATACAAAAGTGACGAATTCTTTTGTCAGAAAATTATTAGCTCTATGATTACGAAAAAAAAAAAGATTGTCATCAATAACTTGAGATATAATGACAACATAAGTTGTCATGAAAAGATAAATATTCAATGACAAAATTTATCGTCAGTTTAATATTTTGTATGGTGACAAATCCAAACAAATACATCACAATTGCATGTTGTCACAAAAAAATATTTTTGATGACAATTTAAAATTTGTCAATATTATAAATATAACAATTGTCATTAATTACAGATATTTAGTGATAAGTTCATTTGTCATGAAATATACAGTTCATTGACAAAATCTATCATCACTTGAAACAATTATGTCATGAAAAAGAAAATACAGTGATAATTTCATAACTAAACGTTCATAGCAGCATTTATCATATTAAGCCCATTTAATTAATAAAATTATAATTAATATATGATGGGACTATGTTCTAGATGATAAATTAGAAAAAATAACAATAATAGTATGTTTGCTAATTAAAAACCATAAATAAACGAACTAACAATCTCAAAATGTTCCAAACAAAAATAAGAAAAGCCTAAGTACTTTAATAAAAAATATAGCAAATCCCATTATATCGCATTTCTAAGTTGACATATCTCTAATAGAGTGTCTTGAAGATATCAACCTCGAAATACTAGCCTCGGGACCTTCTTGCTAAATCGAAGCAACCACACAAAAAAATGCTCACCTGAATGTGTTAAGCTTTCCAAATTAATGTATAGTAATTAAAATATGAAGAAGTAGGACACTTAAGTAATTTCGCACATGACTAACATGGAACTTATTACTTACATGTAACATTTGAGGTCAGATTTTGTTCCTAGTGGCAGCCATGAAAACCATCATGCCCAGCTCCATACTCGAATTAATCATACCCTTTACAACTTACAATAAATCCACCAGAGTTCCATAGAAAAATGTTGCACCATCCTAATACCTGCTCTGGAGATGAAAGGTGGTTTTCAAACTCCAAAGCATCTTGAATTTAATTAAGAAAATGTGCATCTCTATCTACAGAAATCAGGTGCAACTTCATGGAAAAAGGGTAGTTCAACAAAATTTAAGGGCAGAAGTTCGATAAACAAAAAAATTAGGTGCATCACTCACATTCAATATCTTCATTTAAAGCCTCTTATGTTAATCGCTCTACTAATCGAGGAACAACATCAGCTCTAGTAGCACTCCAACCACGTCTATGTCCGCCAACGCATCCCAATTAGGAGTATGTTATCCCACCGCCGAGGCTAACACCTTGAGAACTTGAATCGGATCAGCGCAGTACAGTTCCATGCTCACACTGCTTATCAAGCTGGAGTTTGCAAAACAAATGATAAACCAAGTCATTATACTTTCTCAATATTATCAGTACATGAACATAAACATACTCTTGAAAATGCAGCACTAAAGAAAATAATAATTCCAAGGTTCCCCCAAAATAAATTTTATTCTCATAGTTTAGTCAGACACCCAATACACCCAATTCCAAGTTTCTTAAAAACCTGCTTTGAGCCAAATTTCAATATGCCTACTACAGGATATCTTTTGTCATCAGGAAAAATGCTGGAGCTAACTCCAAGTTATCTCACTGGTCCAAATATTGGTTTGAGGCACTTTCTTCGCCACTTCTTACACATATAAAGTATAAAGTACAGATGCACCTTACATTGTACAAGGGAATCACCTTTCAACTAGCCTAGCCTGTTGCATTCTCTAAGACCAACATCAAGTGGTATAAGATTAGTTTCTAATCACGTACTATAGCTAATGGACATCATATTTTAGGCATTGACTCACACTTCATGCATGATTATTGTTGAAACGTTTTCAAACAGTAAAAGATATATAGTTGAGCGACATGGAAGCACCAAGGGTACATACAAGTCCAGTTTTTTCATCGTCCTACATTCCAACAACTATAAGCATGGTCAGGATGAGGCTAAGAAATAAAAGCCCAACTACTCAAATCATCAAATCGATATATTTATGAGTAAAAATGTGGCCATACCCAAAATATTTTCCATCATCTAAATACTTTCAGAGTAGTGTAATAAAACATAGCAACTATAGCAATAAGACACCAACAACTATTAGTATACCAAATATTAGCATTAATTGTTTAAGTTAGGACTATAGCGCAATAAAACACCATCAAAACACATAGAAAGAGACTTCCTCGATCAATATCTTACCAGCCCAAAACATCAGCAAAAACTCCATTGCCGGAAAGATGATGTAACAGCTCGATGATAGAAATAGAAATCAAACCTAAGGAAAAACTAATTTCCAAAATAATCAATTCCAAAAAAATATTAATAACCAAAACAATAAATAATTAATAATATTATAATACTAGTAACAACCCAAATTGAATTTATTGGCGGAAGCTACAAAAAAACTCACATTTTTTTCTCCACCTGCTCCGCATTCAGCCATTTCTGAGTCCACGTACTCTGGCTTTACCCGGCATAGACACCCCAGGATCTCTTTCATCAACCTCTCCAACAGAGAATCCCTGCCAGAGCCTCTGATTCGTTAGCAATCAAGATTATATGTAGCGATGTAAAATACAATTCAATCATTAAACCTGGAAAACAGATATCAGGCGGGGGTTCACCGGGTGGTCCGAGGCGGAGTATAGAAGAGAAACCTGGTAGTTTTTTATTGAATAAACAGAATGGTGGAAAGCAGATATCAGGCGGGGGTTCACCGGGTGGTTCGTGGCGGAGTATAGCAGGGGCTTGCTCGGCAAATTCATAGTGCTGACGGCGAATAGGTCTCTCGCGTGGCGGATGTCTCTCGGACGGCGGTCGCGAGGTAGTGGTCGGCTGCGAGATTAAGGGAAAATGATGAGCGGCCCGTACGCAGAAGGTCGTTCGGCGTGACTCACCTGAGAAGGTCGCTCGCTGGAAGATAGTGGAGATGCGGCGGTCCATACGGCGCTGAGAAGGGGCTTGATAACGATCTTTTGATTTAATGTGATTTCGGTAGTAGAGAAAAAAAATCAGTGAGCGGAATACATGAAAATTTTCTGAGCAAATAAAGTGAATTGGGACTGAAAGAAATTAGGGCAAATTTTGGATACTTGGGTCGAAAGGCGGGTACATTTGGATACGAGATTTTTTAGAGGATGATTGGATATAAAAAATTTTGGTTTTGTTTGGATTTTTTTGTTTGGTTTGGTTAATTTTGAAAAAGTTGGTATGGTTAGTTGTTAGTGGTATATTAAATAATATTTAAAATAAAATGATTAAAATTGATTTGATGTAAAGTAGGTGAGAGAAAATTTGAAGTGATGGTTAGTTCAAATTATGTGAGTGGATGAATAGTGAATTAAGGTTAGGTGGTGTGTAAGAATGATTGATTGATATTATTTAATTATATTGATAATATTAATGATAGTGGGGTTGAGTTAAAGTTGAGTTAAAAAAAGTGGTTGAGTTAAAAATGTTTGGATTTTTTTGAAAAATTTTGTATCCAAACATGCTCAAACTTTTTGTGAAATTATTGTTAAAAATATTGGGCGCACTTTGATTTTAGAATTCGGATGACTGTCGAAACACAAATTATATAGGAGTAAGACTTTGTGGGGGAGATATATACTACTAGTACCATGCGATGCACGGGTAAGAGATATTTATTAATAATTATAAATTAAAAATTTTTATTAAATAATATTTATAAATTAAAAGCATAAAATTAATATTTAATACAATGTACCTATATTAATTTATTAAAAATATTATAAAATTTAAATTGTACAAAATTACATAAATAAAAATCGATACATGCACATTATATCAAAATATCAGTTCATATATTTTGTCGGAGTTAAAGTAATTTTATTATGTTAATTTCATACGAAAAATTGAAACTCACGCCTAAAAACAAATATATTGGTCTGCGCATTACAGAAAAGAGTACACTGTATATTGATTAAGTTTTCAACAAGTTTTCTACCAAAAAACCGTCATCAAATAACCTAAATAAATTTGCTCACTTTATATCATATATTGATTAATTTATTTCCTATAGAAACAACCATCAATACCAAAAATAAATTCGTCAACTTTGTATTATATATTAATTAATTCACATGATTTAAGTAGTTAAGGTACTTAAAATATGGCTTAATTACTTTCTTAAATAATGAGCCGCAATTTGCATAAGTGATTATTTGATATGTACCTTAAATTGTTAAATTAATTTCCCGAAATAGTAAATAGATTTTTTCTAGAAAAATAGTTAATATTTAAAAAGTAATCAAACTTTTTTTTTTTATATATAGATGTTATATGTAAGATAATCTTTTAATAATGACATTGCCATATTTCAACAACAGTATATTATAATATTTTTTAAAGTATCATAATTTTTTTTAAATTTTGTATTTTCTAAAATTTTGTCATTTTTATAGTATACTCATTTTATTACACTAGTATTGTGGTCCGTGCAAATCCACGGGATTATTCAAAAATAAATAAAATAAGGAAATATAAATAGAATAAATAATTTTTATATACGACTAACATATTACTATATACATCGTTTATATTTGTATATTTTATTTCTCATCGTATATCAATATCTTGTGTCGTCTTTTCTATATGTAACTTGAGAAGCAACAATAGAGTTCCTAAGACATCTAACACATGATATTTGAAAAAATAATTATATGAATCGTCATGCTTTTTTAAAAAATATATATATTCAATAAATATGAGATATTTAATATTCGCATTAAAATTTGTACAAAAAATAGCTACCAAGAATTCATAGAATATGAGATTTTTTCTAAACTTTATAAAATTTTGTAGTTAGATACATATGGACAAAAAAAATTATCAATTAAGTTGAACAATAAAAAAAAAAACACAAAAATTAATTTCCGAAATTAGCATTCTTTACTAAATAAATACGAACTTTTAGTTGTGATAATAAAATATGAGATTTGTAGACAGATAAATATGAATAAAAAATATTTAATAATTAAGTTCGCATGACTTTTTCGAAAGATTTAAAAAAAAAAATCAAACATTTTATTTGTTAAATGATTGATCGGATTTGTTGGAAGCATTCAAGATTCTTTCTAATTATTGACCATATTTACCCATAGAATTTAATGAAATCATTACCCATATTTCTAGGATATAAGATTTACAAAAAAAAAGAAAAAGAAAAAAAAAAGAAAAAACTTTTAATGAAATCATTACCCATAGTAGTAACTATAAAAAAAAATGAAGGATATCTTTTAATTATATGTGAGAAATATATTTCCATTTGCGTAAAATAAATAAAAACAATTCTATGTACTATAAATCAGAGCATCTCCAATGCAACTTTTGACATTATAAAAAGTCATCCATATCATCAACTTTTGAAAGTGTGTCTCAATTTTTTTCTCCAATGCATCTTGTCATAAACTCTTTCATGATGAGGTGGATGTCATTTAATGTTGACAATGTTGAGCACACTTTCTAATATCTAACACCATGTTAAACATGATGACTCATCAATTTACTTTATATTTGTTTTAATTTTTTATTTTTTTTATATCAATGAATTATTTAATTGGTCCACCTATACAAATAACTTCTTATCAAATTGATGCATTGGAGATACTAGTTTTATTGAAATTTTTAGTCTTTTAACATTATTCCAATGTGGATTAACATTACAATCACTAATTGACATGTGTTAAAAATAATGGTCTTTCACACTTATAGCATTGGAGATGCTCTCATACACGCCATCCTTAATATTTGTTAGTTTCTATTTATTGTTAGAATATATTTTTTTGTGCAATAAAGATGCTATCCATTTAAATGATTATATATTATATTATGGTTAAACAAATCATGGTATATATTTAAGCACGTTAATCTGACAAATGAATATATTTTTTTGGAAAAAAGTATCCGAATTTAAAGAAATAATTGCCATGTTTATAGGAAGTGAGTTTTATACAATATCTTTCTCAAATAATAATTATCTTGAATTTGAATTTGAATTTCCAAAGTGGCCGCCTTTTTTCTAACAAAAATACTAATAATAGTAAAATATGAAATTTTGAGCGGGAATTGTCATTCTATTTATATATTTTTTCGTATTGCTATTATATATTAATAGATGTTTATTTTTGGTTATGTGATATCAATAATTTGAGATTATGTTTAAAAACAATTAAAGTTAGGTATTCAATTTCCACCTAATATAAATTTATATTTTATTTACAAATATAAATTAATGGATATGATTATAGATTAATTGCCCCAAAAATAATTATTTGTAAATAAAAAATATGTGAAATTTAAAATAATTCCTGAAACGCATAGATGGAAAATTTTCATAACTATGATTATTTTAGAAGTTTTAAAAAGTATTTTTTTTAATGATATTTTGATAATAATGCCCCTTAAGCGTCTAAAAAGGCTTAGTTGTAATTTCATCTAATTTTTCTTCCTTTTTTTCATGAAGGTTGCTGTAAATTATAACTTATTTCATTTTATCTTATTTTTTATTTGTCGTTTTTAAAATTCATTTATATTATTTTTTTATTGTTATTTATTTCAATTTTATTGATCTTACTTTTTTATTATTGTAATGATTTTTATTTTTTAAATATATATTAATTACTAACTAAAAGCACATAAAATTAATAATTGAAGAGTATTTTATTTTAATTTTCAATTTATATATTTTAAATATTTTTATTTATTACTTACTATATTTATATTATTATATTAATCTTAATTAATTTTAATATAATTTATCTTATTTATTATATTATATATCAAGACCATAACAAGTAGTGGTTGTAGTTCATTGGACAAACTGCCTTTTTTCTAAGTAGGAGGTTAGAGGTTCAAATCCTCAACTTGAAAATATAATTTTTCTTTTTAATTCTGTCACCTAAGGAAAAAAAAAAATGAAATGAAATTGTAAATCAGCTGCCACCTATGGAAAAAAATAAATAAATAAATAAATAAAATTTCAGCTCAACCTTCAGGTAAGGATCACTGTGTGTAGGCGGTCACATAACAATTTTTCTAATTTTTTTGCACTTAACGGGCTAAAAAAATGGACATTTTGGAGGACTAAAACCAAAAATTGGGGTAATGAAACAGGCCAAGAAACCATTTTAGCTGCAATTGTTATTTGTACTAGTTTTTGTTGAATTGGATGTTCTTTAAAAAAATTTAGAGAGAAATTTGTCATTAAAAAGTCTATGTTTTATAAAAAAAAAAATATGCGAGATGTTCTATGCAAAATCATCAATAACTTTAAAAGCAAAAAACAACGACATTTATGTTGTATCATGGAATTTGTCATGTTAGATAAAAAAGTGACAACATGTGATGCATTCTAATGTATCGTCACAATGCATATTGCAATAATGACCAATTTTCGAAAAGCATCATTTTGAATACATAAAAAATACGACAATTATTTTGTCGCATTGAATTTCCTCATAAGATTTATTAGTGTGACGAATTTAGATGTATTATAATGTAGTGTCACAATAAAAAATTATATAACGAAGATTTATTCAAAAGCGACATTGTAAATACCAAAACTAACGACGACATTTATTTTGTCGCAATGAATTTCGTCATGAGATGTATTAATGTGACGAATTTAGATGTATTGTAATGGTCACAAGACATATGTATATAACGACGAATCACTCATAAGCGTTATTTTAAATGCCAAAAAGAATGACGACGTGCGAGTTTCATCATGATATGTATTTCTCTGACGAATTCAGATGTATTGTAATGTATCGTCACAAGACACAAGTATTTACTGACGAAGTACTCGTAAGCGTCAATTTAAATAAAAAAAATGACAACAATTTTTTTTTCGTTATAATGAATTTCGCCATAATATGTATTAATGTGATGAATTTGAATGAATTGTATTTTATCGTCACAAAAAAAATATATAATGTCGAATTTTTCGTAA